ACTAGCTTGAAGTGCATTTCTTTTTTTCTTTGCAGTACTGGGGCTTGAATTCAGGCCTTACACCTTGAGCTGCTCCACCAGCCCCTTTTTGTGATTTTTTATTTTTGACGTAAGCTCTCAGGAACTATTTGCCCAGGCTGGCTTCGGGCAGTGATCCTACTGATCTCTGCCTCCTGAGTAGCTAGAATTACAGGCGTGAGCTACTGTCACTGGACTGGTTTAAAGAGCATTTCTATGCAGAGCTGTGTCACACTATCTGTTGGTCCCTCCGATGAAAAAGTAGAATCAAGTGTCAAATGATGCCTTGGTAATTGTATCCTGTAGTATTAGACATACAGCAGAACTGTATCATACTTCTGTGAATGTAAATTGTACCTGCTTATGAAATGTAGTAGCAACCTTGCTTTATCAGAATGGTTTTTGATGATATTCTAGAATGCTCTTTCAGTAGATGACTGAGAAGGTAATAAAAACAAAACAAAGCAAAACACCATGTTTGCTAATCTGACAGGTATGAAATTGTACCTCATTGTCAATTAAAGTAGCATTTCATTGATTATGAGTGACGCTACATAGCTAGTTTCAAACTTGTGATCCTCCTACCTCAGCCTCCTGAATGCTGGAATTACAGGTGTGCACCACTATACTAGCCTTTAATACAATTCTTTCCATTTATGGTTCAGTCTTGTCAAAAAAGTGAATTTCCATACCTGCATGTCCATTTTGTCATGAGACTATTCACAATAGTTAAAATAAAGGATCAGCCTAGGTGCCCTCAACAGATGAATGGAAAGAGACAGTTTTGTGTATATGTACACAATGGAGTATCATTGAACCAGAAAGGTGAAAGAAATCCTGTCATTTTTGGCAACATAGACAAAAGTGAAGGACTATGCTAAGTGATAGAGACACAGAAAGATAAGTACATGTGCTCTGTCACATGTGGAAGCTAGAACACTGACCTGAAAGTGATTACTAGAGAGGTGAAGGTGGGTGGAAGAAGAAGGGAGATTGGATTTGACTGGTGCATGCTATATTCATGTATAGAAATGTCATACTAACCTCATTAGCATGCACAGTTAATGTGTATTAATAAAAAAGTTTAAAACCAATGAATAAAAACTAAAACAAACCATAAAAATGAATCTCTAAAATAAGGGCATCAAAATATTCTCTTTATCTAAAAGTTTTGGTATCTTGCTTTTTCACATTTAGGCCTTGAATCAACTTGGTATATGGTATAACACAGAGATGTTTTTCTTCCTTTCAGATTTTCTGTTGTCTGAACAACATTTATTGAAGAGCCCAGTCTTCCCCGAATATTTTTCTTTAGTCATGCATCAAATTTCAAAGTATACATGAATGTTTCTGGTGTTCTCTTCATTCTGCTTCATCTATCCTCATGTTAATACCCTGTGTCTTTATTACCATAGATTTACAGCAATTAAATCATTTTGAACCTGAGTCTCACAGATTTTTTTTCCTTTTGAGAATTCTCTTTACTCTTTTTGATTCTGTTTTACCATAAAACTTATAAGATTTATTAAACTTCTATTGAAGTCCTTTGTTTGAATCTTTTTAGAATTACATCAGAGCATAATTAGAATTAGTTTGGGGAAAATAGGAATTTCTTGCTAAATAGAATTTTCCAAACATGAACACACAGATCTTTATAATCATCCAAGTGGTTTTTTTTTCATGATTTTCAGAAATGTCTTGCAATTTTCTCCATGGAGGTCATGCTATTTTTTACTGTGATAGTTTCTACATGATTATTTTTGGCATTCTGACTGCTACTAATTTTTTTTAATTCTGTTACTAATTGTGGTCAAATGCATACACACAGCATAAAATTTATCATCTTAATCATTTCAAGTATAAAGTTCAATACTGTTAAGTGTATTCACATAGCTGTGACAGATCTCCAGAACTTTTTCATCTTACAAAACTGAGACTTTTATACTCACTGAACAACAGCTCCCCATTTTCTCTCCTCTGCTCCCTGGCAACCACCATTCTAATTTCTGTTTCTGTGATTTGACTATTCCATATACTTCATACAGGTGAATACATACTGAATTCGTCTTTTGTGACTGGCTGTTTAACTTAGCATACAGTTCACAGGGTTCATCCATGTTGTAGGACATATCAAATTAAATTTTACAATGCTGAATGATACTGTACTAAATATATGTATCACATTTTATTTATGCATCACATATGATTTATCCATTCATCTGTACACTGGGGTTGCTTCCCCCTTTAGACTATTTTGAATAATATGGCTATGAATTAGATGTAATTATTAATTTTTAGGTGTCAAATCGACTGGATTAAGAAATACCAAGAGAATTGGTAAATCATGATTTCTGGATGTGTCTGTGAGGGTATTTCCAGAGTATAATGTTATGTCAGTTTGCAGACAGAGTTGAGAAGATCTGCCCTCAATGTGAGTAAGCATCATCCAATTGGCTGGGACCAGGACAGAATAAAAAGGCAGAAGTGAATTCTTTCCTCTCGCTCTCCTGGAACTGGGCCCCTCTACTGGTCTTAGATTTCAGAACATCAGACTCCCTAGCCTTTGGTCTCCAGGACTTACATGATTGGAGCCAGTTCTCAGCCTTTCATCTTCAGATGAGAGTGACACTGTGGTTACTCCTGGTTCTCTCTCTGAGGCATTCAGACTTGACCTGAGCCACACTACTAGCATACCAGGGTCTTTGGTTGCAGTTAGTCTAACCTGAGCTTCTCAGCCCCCACAAAATGCATGAACACACTTCCCTAATAAATTCTCTCACATGCCCCCACGTCTCTCCATCTCTCTCTCTCTCTCTCTCTCTCTCTCTCTCTCTCTCTCTCTCTCATATACCTCCTATTCATACTATCTCTCTAGAGAACACTGAGTAATAAAATGGGCATTAAAATATGTCCCTCTTTGAGTCCCTTCTTTCGATTCTTGTGGATATATACCCAGATGATACATCCTTAAGTCATATGATACTCTATTTTTATTTAGATTCTTTTAGGAAAACTTATACTATTTTCCATACAGATAACACCATTTTACATATCCAGCAAGAGTGCACAGGTGGAGTGTTACATTTTCTCCACATTCATACCAACACTGGTTATTTGGGGGTTTTATAGTATTCATCCTAGTGTGTATGAATATCATATCATTGGAGTTTTGCTTTGCATTAACCTAATGATTATTGATTTGAGCATCTTTCATATGCTTGCTGGTCATTTTATACTTCTTTAGTGAAATGTCTATTCAATTCATTTGCTCATTTTTTAACCAGGCTATTTTTTGTTGTTGAACTCAACAAAAGATTTCCTTATATATTATGGATCTAACCCATGATCGCATTTCCAGATGATTTCCTCCGTTAGGTAGTCTTTTCACTCTACTGATGCACAGATATTTTTAATTTTGATATAGTTCTATTTTTTACTTTTGTTGCCTGTTTTTGGTATCAAATCCAATGTCATAGTTTTTCCTCTAATGTTTTCCTCTAAGATTTCATAGTTGTACATTTTATGTGAAGGATTTGATATATTTTAGATTACTTCTGTATATCCCACAAGATAAGGATCCACATTCATCTTTTATATAAGGAGAGCAGGCTTTCCCAAGACCACTTGTTGAAGGACTACTTTCTCTCCTATGGACAGCCTTCATGCCTTTTTCCCTACCAATGATAATTCTTCCTAACCTCAATCTTTCTCTATTAAACAAAAAAGAATTGTCAGGGTATTGTAGTAAGGTTTACATTTAGGATTGTAGAAGCCTGAGAATCATTCTCACTCCATATTTGAAGTTGCGTAAGTTACTTAAACCTTTGAACCTTATTTTCATCATCAGTAAGCAAGTAATATAACAAAATATAAATGTAACCAAACTGTCATGATGCTGTTCTAGGATCAATGACAATGAATGCAGAGCAAGTTTTTCAAGTATTATACAAATAGATAAACAATAAACAAATACTAACAATGATACCTGCACTTTTTGACATATAATTACATGAAATGAAATGATAGTGGTAAGAATGTGCTACTGGGTAAAGACAAACATAAAGGAAAATAGAATTGAGCCCAGGAAAAACACTCATGTACATAGTGAAATGTTATATATTTATTAGCTAATTCTTTTGCTCCTTTTTATTTTCTTTGCTAACTCCCTTAGAGATAAAGATTTTCCTATACAATTTTCCATCTGATTTACAACCTATAGATTTCTTTTCACTTTAATTTTTCCCCTTATTCCACCACTTGTATACTCATTTCTTCTCCATTCTCTTCTGTGTTACAAGGGGAATATCTTCTGCATAACACCAAGCAGAATAACAGAAACTTTTGGTGCAGTGGGTGAGATGCTAATGCCACTCCTTATTCTATTCTGAACAAATGATGTTCTTTAAGTTGGTAAATGACACATGTGTCTGAAATTGATATTCTCTATGAAGTATCACCGTTCTTAATTTGCTCCGAGTAGCATACAAGGTTAACCTCTGTAAGAGACCTTTGAAACAGGCCCTGGAATTTGAAGGAACATGGCCAGTTTCACAGAAAATTAGAAAAGCAAGGTGAATTTATGTCCTCTACCTTGGCTCACAGTTCTATTATATAGCACCACATAGGGATCTGACTTTGGGAAAGCCATTGTCATTCAGAATTCATCCTTCTATTACTTACTCTCAGACTTGCTAGGAATCTACTGCCACTTTCCACAAGTGCTCAAAATACACTCTCGCCAACATCATTCCCTTGAAAAGTCATAATACAAAGCAGCACTTACTCCCAGATACACAGTGATTATAGAATCTGTGCATCTCAAGAGATCCCCACAACCAACTTCCAAACAAGAAAGATAGTATAATACTGAAGCCATCTGAGTGATATTTTCTAGGCATCAAATACCCTACAAGGAGGAATATAAGTTCCATAACCTGAGAGATCACAGAAAAAAAAACTTTTTACTAATCCTTTTTCTCCTCCTACCATGAATCTCTACCTCTCCTTAGCATCTTGCATAGAGCCCCTTTCACATCCTTGTTCCTCAGGGTATAAGTCAGAGGATTGAGCATGGGGGTGATTATAGTATAAAAAAGGGCAACAAACTTTCCCTCACTCTCAGAATAACTACCAATAGGCTGGAGGTATGTGTAGATGGTTGAGCCATAAAATAGAGACACCACCAGGAGGTGGGAGCCACAAGTCCCAAAAGCTTTTCTGCGTCCAGCCATTGACTTGACCTTCAGCACAGCCTTGGCAATGTGGGCATAAGAGCCTAGAATTAGTGCTGCAGGAAAGACCAAGATGATAGCTTGGGACACAAACATCTTGGTCTCAGTTCCTCCTGTGTCCTCACAAGCCAGCTTCAGGAATACAGGCATCTCACAGAAGAAGTGATTCAGATGATTGCCACAGAGAGGCATGGCCATCATGAGACCTGTCTGAATCAGTGAGTTCACAAGGCCTCCTGACCAGGAAGCAATGGCCAGTGAAAAGCAGAGACGAGGGTGCATAATGGTCATGTAGTGGAGTGGACGACACACAGCAGCATAGCAGTCAAAGGCCATCACCGCCAAGAGCATACTGTCAGTGGAACCCAGGGCAAGGACAGTGAAGAGCTGGGCCACACACCTGTCATAGGTGATAGTGTGGTCATGTCCCAGAAGGTTGATTAGAAGCTGGGGCACAGTGCTGGTGGTGTAGCAGAGGTCCAGGAAGGAGAGGTGGCAGAGGAAGAAGTACAAATAAAAATATAGATAAAAAGGATGAGTTCCAATTGAGGCCAATCTGAGAAGCCCACCAAAATGAAGCCCTCTCTGGAACTGGTATTGAATCTTCCCATAGTCTTTCACCTACACAAATAGTAGAAGAGAGTTTAATGTCATGTATGAAGAATGCAAATTAACACATTATTCCTAGTGTTCCTTAAGTACTCGTAAATCAGGCACTTTATGTGTATTTTGATATTCACTTCTCTTTTGTTCAAAGTTCTAATTTTTTCTTCTTTAGAGTAGAAATTACTGAGTTAGGAATCTTTGTTTGAACCCGACAGCTCTGCTGCCTTTGTATCCCCTAAATCCTGTGGATTGGATGATTCAATGTTTTCAGTGTCTGAAAGTAGATACCCCTCACAGCACTGGATTTAGAACCTAATCTAGTAATGTGGAAGCTGGTTTTAAATTTCTAAGGTATAAAAATGTAGCATTTATATTCTCTTTGCTCCTCTTCTTGGTCCATTGGGTAGTTTATTTCAGATTTCAAATCCAGGCTACACTAAGATCACACACATGAACCCTGATGCTTATTGGCTTCCATCTTCTCAGTGCAGCCCTGCTCATACCAGCCGCATCTGTCATGAAGGACTGAAAAGAGTGTATGTCCATTACTTTGAGGGAAAAAAATAGCAATAAGTATCTTCATGTTGAATGAAGGCCATTCCCTTTCCCCATTTCTTCAAATATCATATCCCATGATTCACCCCCACAGAGAGAGCTGTTCTGTCCTTTCTAGTTGAGCCCTGCTTTTACTGATGCTTTCTACCTCTTGTCCACTCACTAAAACACTTTTTACATTTCTTTGTTTCTCTCTGAGTTCTCAGCTCTATGGTTGCACAGAACTAGTTAAATATTAGTATGTGTATCTTTTAAATGTATAAAAACATTAGCTTCTTTCTTAATTATGCTCAAGAAGTGCTGAATTATTGTTCCTTTTATTCATGACACGTAGTAGTTGTTAAATTTCATTTGGTGAAACATTCAACATTCCATGCAAATCTCATGAAAATTCATTTCCTCTAAGAAACCTACAGATTACCTGATAAACCACTTTGATAACTGTCGAATTGTGGTAGGCACAAAAAAATTGCTCTCCTGAAGAGGTTGATGTTTCTTGTGATAAAAATCCAAACAGGATTATACAAAAGTATGTCAGAACATTTGAAAAAGAAACTGGTGATCACAGAACCAAGCATATGCTTAATATGAAATATTTTGCCTAATTAACTAATTCCCCTTCTTGTCAAGTTTACTGAACAATGGATCAAAGCTAGAGTCGAAGCCTTAGAGTCTATATCATGTCTGTAAGATCAAATCTATCATAGACCAGCTGTGCCACCAGTTGCAAAAGATTCACTTCAGTGATTCTCAGCATAATTACCTATAAAGCAAAGAAAATAATGTACTTCAAGGGATTTTGATTGGTATTAAGTGATATAATGCATTTTGCACATTACAGAAATTATTCACTCTCACTTTTAATACTTGCCTGCCTTCATCACTAAAATTTATGTTCCATAAAATCAGTCTACTTAATTTATTCCCAACTGTCATTCCCAACTTTCAGTGCAGTGCCTGGGAAACAAAAAGTTCTCAAAAGTATTGCTGAATGAATTAATGAATGTACTCCTCCCCATGGCACCATGCCTGGTACACATAAATGTTCCAGAAATACTTGTTTCCTTGCAACATAAGAGAATTAACACAACTGCACAGTTTCTCATTTAGTGGTCAAGATTTTTAACCATTGCTACCATGTGTTTTTAATCAGTGATTTATAATGACATAAAAGAAATGATTAATATATTTCCAATTGTCCAAAATGTTGGAATTCTGACTAATATTATAAACAATAGAAGAATAGTCCAAAAAGACTTCAATATAATGAAACTTGAAGCATTAAATCAATAAAATGACCCACATTAGAATAAAACTAATGGCATAACTTTGAAATGGAGAATTTAAACTTCTTTCCAAACGTGTCACCAGTCAGCTGACTTGGATCCTTTTTCTCTACCCAGAGAGCAATCATGAATTGAGGAGGACTCCCTCTTTCAATGTCAGTCAGGGTCCTTGATGTTGAAAGCCTGGATGCTGGACTGACAGACCCAGAGGTTTATACCTCCAAGTCCTGATAGCTAGGGTGTCATTACTCCAGGCTTTAGAAGCCAGAGATTTGTTAGAAGCTAGAAATTTATGCCTCTATGTACTCAAGTGGTAGACTAATTGTTTTTGGCTTTCATCATGAATGGCTCTGCACTGACAGCTACTGTAAACCTTGGCTCCCATTGGAGTGGGAAGTGGGCCTCAAATAGTAGAGTGCTGGCCTAGAAATCACAAGGCCCTGAGTGTAAAACTTAGTAACTGCCCTCCCCCCACCAAAACAAAGAATGGATACAAACACTTCAAACTACATTTCACAGGAATAGTAACAAAAACCTTTGGGAAAAGACACATAACAACTTGAGCAGAAGACCTTGGAGATAAATTCTAACATATATTGTTAACTAATTTTTATAAAGGCACCAAGACAACACAATAAGAACAGATAGTCTAGTCTCGTCCATAAATGGCCTAGAAGAATTGGATTTCCACAGAAAAAGAATGAAATTGGACCATCCTTTATGCCATAAACAAAACATCAGTTTAAAACTGATGAAAGGACATCTTGCCATTTGCCACAGCATTGATGAACTTGAGGGACCTTATATAAGTGAGATAATCCAGAAGCAGAAAACAACCTTTGTATCATCTCCTCTATATGTATGAAATGTAAAAGCAGAAAACAAACATTGCATCATCTTCTTTAAATGCATGAAATGTAAAAGAAAAACATGCAAATATGCAGAGCTTGAGAATAAAACATGGTTTCCAGGAACGGGGTAGGGAGAGGATGCAGGTCAAAGAATACAAAGTAGAAGATATTTGGGATGAAAAAGCTGGAGATCTAATTACATGAAAACTATAGGTAATAAAATTGTACCATATTTGGGTTCATGCCAAATGAACAGCTTTCAGTTGCTATTTCCACAAAAACAAAGACAATGAGTAAAAGGTGAGATGGCATTCATTTCAATTTGTTTCATCCTCTTCCATTGTGTGCCTATCTCAGGGAAATTCACCACAGCCACACAGTCTACCAAACCAGACCAGGTCATTATCCTCTATACACCAACTATGTTCAAGAAAACCTTATATATAACTCCATCTCAGTAGTTCTGAACCAGGTGTGGTTTGACCATCAGAGGACATTTGACAATGTCTGCAGACATTTTTGGTTGATACATTTGGCATTTAGTGTGATGAGGCCAACAGTGCTGTGATACACCCACAAGGCACAAGCCGTCCCATCAACACACCAAAATACTCACAGGAATTATCCGACTCTAAAAATGTCAGCAGTGCTCAAGGTTCAGAAACTGTCCTCTGGAGACATGGTTTCCTCCTCTTCTCTGAGATAAGGCTCTTACTTTATCACTCTATGCACATTATTCCTTCTCACGTTCAATTGACCGTGTTCAACTTCATTTCTCATTAATGATTTCCCTGTCCCATCTTTCTTAAGCTTGTAAAGAGCAGCACAGCAGTATCTATCATATTCTCACTTAAAGTTTTAATGCTAAGACAAGGAGAGGCACAAAGTATCCATCAGGTCCCCAGGGCCCACAGACATATACCAGCACCAGAGTTTGAAGAAGTCCTTAGAATGGGGTAAAGCCTTGTAGCAGCTTCACTCATATTTACAAAGGGTAATATGGAGGTCATTTGACTTCTCTGTGATGTGGTGCCTTTCATTTAGAATCATGTGGATAAGAAGAGAGCTCCAATTTTACAGACCCTCTCGGGTAAAGATCTTTCCAGCACTGCTCCATTATATTGGCCTTCATCTGGCTAATCAAGATTTTGATACTTGCTACCTTCTTGTGATCCCTTCTTTGGGGGATTTATCCTACTTTCTATTTTTCAGTGTCCCTGTGAGAATGGGATGTCTGCAAAATCACAACATTCAAGTCCACCTCAAGTGTCACATTAATCCTCTTCCAGGAATGATGCCAGTGACTCCCTGTGTTCAGCAAAGCACACCTCACTCTCCCTGCACTAGACATTTGTCTGCTATTCCAGACCTAATTACTATACCCAGTCCTTCACAGAGCTTTTCTTCATCCTTCCATGTGCACATTGCTTGAGTGCCAAATGGCCAAATGGGGTTATCCTGAAAAGAAAAGCTCTTCTTACTCGTAATCTCACAGGAGACTTCATTTTTCAAAGGAGTTGTACATTACTCTTCACATGGAATCAACAGTGGGCTTTAGATGCCACAGGATATTTGCCATCCTACATCTTGGATCCCAAGAGAGTTTGACCATAAGACAGGTTGTGTCATGGTCAGAATCGCTCAGACAACAGGCAGAATCAACCTTCAAGTAACACAGCCTGGTGCATATAACAGAGACAGGTAGAAAAGGTCTCATGAGGGGAGCACACAGAATAAACATGACCCTTTCAAATGACAGTCCTCCAGCACTGAAGGAAACAATTGTTCCAGGCAACCTTTACTGAACTCCATGTTCCTCAAGTGAAGGTGGTAGTTTCAAAATGACTATTTCCTTAAACATTTTTTAAACATAACATTTCATTAAAGGAAAAAAATGATGTGAGGCTGACAAAACCAGTCCCCAATGACTCCTGTTTTTATACTAGCCATCCCTAAGTGTTTACAAACAATCTCTCTAAACTTCACATTTCAAATAAAATGTACTATCCAACACTGTTCTGGTTAAATAGAATTGTGAGTACATGCTGCCAGTTCTTTGCTATAGCTTAAATTAAAACCTTGACAAAATATATAGAATCAAAGGCAATAAACCCAGCTAGTCATCTGAAAATATTCTCCATGAGAAATTGATGTTTTCATTGTACATTTTAGGCTAGAAAACACCATGCTTAAAAACAGGCATTATAGCTTATGTCCATGTTTAAAGATTGTCATATGGAAAAGGTGGTGAACTTGCTTTGTTCTTTTCCAAAGGTCAAGACTAAGACCCACTGGCAAAATTGAAAAGAGGAT